CCAGCCACGGGCGGGGGCAGAGCCACCAACGGCCGGAGGGGCAGCAGGGTCCTGCACAGGCTGGGACCTGCCCTGATGCCACTGGGCATTGACCTCCGGGGTGGCACTTTCCCAGGAAAGCCTCCGCTGGGGAAAAGGGTGGTGCTGGATCACGTGGCAGCGCCATCCACCGCCAGGCATGATTTCACCGGGCGCTTCTGGACTCTGCCCTGGGAGAGTCCCGCTGTGCCGCGCGCCACCCTGGAGCACTGCCAGCGGCGCCGGGCTCCGGGCCAGCCGGGAGCAGGGAGGGGAGCAAAACCAGCACAGGCCATGGCTTCCCAGCTGGCTCCAGCCTAGATGTGCTGCCTAGCGGGCACGTGCCCGGCCCTTGCTGCAGAGCTTCCCCGACACTGGTGGGGACACATACCCACGTAGGTATGCCGAGGATGGCCTGGTGGGATGAGGGGTCTCCTCCCATGCCGGTTGCTGGCTCATCCAGGCTCCTTGCTGTCTTGCACAGGGTGAGCGAGATGCTGGCAAAGGCCTGGAGATGCGGAAGCTGGTTCTCTCTGGTTTCCTGGCCAGCGAGGAGATCTACATCAACCAGCTGGAGGCCCTCTTGTTGGTGAGCAACAGGGACATCCCCCAGCAGGGTTGGATGGACTGTTGGGTGGGTGGGTGGGTGGACAGTTGGTTGGATGGATGGACAGTTGGTTGGATGAGTGTACAGTTGGGTGGATGGGTGCACAGCTGGGGAGGAGGGTGGGTGGGTTGATGGATGGATGGATGGATGGATGGATGGATGGAGTCGTGTCTTCCTGTACAGTCTCTCCCAAGCAGGCCTGGCCTGGGCACTACATGGGTGGGAGCAAAGCAGCAGAAGTCGTGCTGGAGCCAGCCTTGCTCTGGCCTGGCTGTCCCCGTCTCACCTCCCCCCCACTGCCAGCGTGCCTGGCGGGGAGGTATTTATAGCCCCACTTCCTCTTGTGGACTCGCTGGCCCTCGTGGCGGAGACGCTGTTGCACAACGTGGGGGTCACCACTGCCATGGACAGGGAAGTCTGTGGGGATGCATGAGCTGAGAGTGGTCCCTCGGTCCAGCTGCCAGCTGAGACCTGTCCCAGCCAGTCCTCGCAGCCAGCTCAGATCCCCCTCATCCCCAGCGTTCCCCTCCCAGTCCTTGTCTCACTCTCCCTTTCCTCCTTCGTCAGCCTATGAAGCCACTGAAGGCCACAGCCACTACGTCGCAGCCTGTCCTCACTCTCCAGCAGATCGAGACGATTTTCTACAAGATCCAGGACATCTACGAGATCCACAAGGAGTTCTACGACAGCCTGTGCCCAAAGGTGCAGCAATGGGACAGCAATGTCACCATGGGCCACCTCTTCCAGAAGCTGGTACGCGCCTTCTCTGGGGCTTGATCTGCTTGGAAGAGGAGGAGGGCTGGGGAGATGGAACACCGTGCTATGGGGCTCAGCCTCATGGTATAGGTCAGCTCACGCCCTGCCACGTGCTTGCCGGTGGCCATGGGCCTTGTTGCATCCCTCCCTGCAGCAGCCGCTGCTGCCTGCCCGAGCCTTCCCATCCCAGGATGGGATGTAGTGCAGCCTCCACGCCCCTCGCCGCAGCGGGGATTCCCACTGCTGGCAGGTCCTGGATGCAACCATGGCAGGGTTTTGGCTGGGGGTGCGTGGTGTGGCTTCACCACGGGGCTGGCAGGAGCCCAGGTGTGTGGGTGACCCTCTGGGGGGAGACAGGGGGGTGCTGCCTCTTCGCTACCTGTTGGTGCTGCGGTGGTGGCTCCCCAGGGCCCCGGGGGGTCCTGCCACTGCTTTGGACTTGAGGCTGTGCCCATGGGTGTCATGGCCATGCTGGGGAGGGGAGGAGGAGAGGGCAGGTCAAAGGGTGCTGGGAAGCGGCTGTAGCTTCAGCCTCCACTGTCCAAGCTCTCTTCGCTGGATTTTGGACAAGTCCCACCATCCTGTCCCAGGCGAGGGCTGTCCCTACAGAGCCAAGTGTGCGGCCCCTCAGTTGGCTACGGTCTGGCAGAGCGTCCTGCCAGGAGGGGACAGTTCTGGGCAGTGTCCCCTCAGTGGCTGCCTGGCCCCTCGCGCTGGCGGGGGGTTTCAGCATCTCGCCAGGTCCCCGGCTAACCCCTGCTCCCCGCAGGCCAGCCAGCTGGGGGTCTACAAGGCCTTTGTGGACAACTACAAAATCGCACTGGAGACAGCGGAGAAGTGCAGCCAGAGCAACTACCAGTTCCAGAAGATCTCGGAGGTGAGCTGGACCGGGGCTGTGGTGACAGGACGGGGATGCCACGCATGGGCTGTCCCGGTGCAGGACAGAGAACATCGTCCCCATGGCCAGGCTGACCACCTGTGCCCCACAGAGATGCTCTCCCAGCCCTGGGGACTCTTAGGGACTGTCCCAGGGGCAGAGCCATTGTTGGTTGTGCTGGAGGGTAGTGGTCTCTGAGTGTTGCGGGGGTTTGCCCCCCGCCTCATGCAAGCTCAGGTTGGGCTCAGCCCTCGGGTTGGGCTCAGCCCTCGCTGCCATCGTTTCTGGGATGCCGGGGCAGCCTGCGCCCGCTCGCCCCATCCAGTGAGCATGAGTGCTGGCCGTTGGGCACCCATGGCTCATCTCCTGCTGGTTGCATCCCCGTGCCTGGCTCCCCTATAGAAACAAGGACCTCCATGGCCGCAGCCTGGCCTCTCGCTCCCTCCGGCTCCTCCGCAGCAGGGCTGTTCAGCTCGGTGGGACCAGCAGCCTCCCCGAGCTGCTGTGGGGCTGGGTGTCCTGCTCCAGGGTGCACCATGGGTCCACCACATCCCGGCTTCTGGGCGCAGCCAGAGCTGCTCCCAGCCAAGCAGCACCCCATACAGTCCACATCTCCATGCCAGCACTCAAATGTGGCCTCCAGCGTGGCCAGGCTGGGGCCGGGGGGAGATATCAGGGTGCAAGAAGGGTTGGGGGGGACTCCATGACCTTGAGCAATGACCTCCCCCCCCACCCCAGCCCACCGCGGGCTGCTCTGATGGGTCTTTCCCTCCCTAGGAGCTGAAGGTGAAGGGCCCCAAGGACTCGAAGGAGAGCCACACGTCCGTCACCATGGAGGGTACGGCGGGCGCGGGCGTGGGGAGGGGGACGCAGCCTTTTGTCTGCACGCGGGACCGGCGCGGATGAATTACTGAGCGGCTCCTGCGAGCGGAGCCCTTTGTGTTCCCGTGTGCGGAGCTGATGAGGAGAGGCGGGGG